CCCCCCGCCGCCCCCCGGGGCAGTGGGGCTCCCCACGCCCCAAGAGAGCCTCGCAGCTTGACGAGTCATCCGGAGGAAGCGGGTGGCGCACAGCTGATGGGAGAGCGGCGAGGCGGCGGCAGGTGGCCGGGAAGGGGGCGGGGGGACAGTCGAGGCCCAGCAGCGGCTCGCGCCCTGGCGGGGCCTCTGGACTGCTCTGAGCCGGAGGCGTCTAAGCGCCCCCAAAGCGAGACACGCACCCCGGAGGGCCGGGCGCGCCGGACTCACCGACTTGTGACTCTTGGCCGAGATGGTCTTGGCCTTGTCGGGGTCCCAGATGACCACGTCGGCGTCCGAGCCCACGGCGATCCGCCCCTTTCTGGGGTACAGGTTGAAGATCTTGGCCGCGTTGGTGCTGGTGACGGCGACGAACTGGTTCTCGTCCATCTTGCCAGTGGCCTGCAGGCGAGAGCCGCCAGTGAGAGGGGCGTCCGGGGCGAGGGTCCGCCGCGGTCCTTCCTGGCAGCCGGGCCGTGGCCTCCAGGTAGAGGGGACGGAGGTCTGAGAACCAGCAGAGCTGGCTTTCGATGGGCCGGGGTTGGGGGCGCTTCTAGAACATTCCACAGGACACGGCGCAGCCTTACCACCGCCTTGTCCCACACGACGGTCATGCGCTCCTCTATCCCGTTGACCCCCTCCGGGATCAGCGTGAAGTTGTCCTTGCCCACGGCCTTTTGGGCAGTGCTGTAAGGACAGTGGCCACTGCCCGTGACCTGCAAGTCTCCACTGGCAAAGACGAAAACAAGGCGGGTTCAGACCCGAGTTCGTGTGACAGGCACACCCCAACTCAGGCCCCAAAAACCCTAGAGATTGTGGGGAGAAGGTTCCGGGGCACCTCTGGGAGCTCCTGAGGGAGGCAGGAAGGTCCTTTGGCCCCGGGCCTCGGGAGGAGCTGGTCGGCGAGGGTGCGGGCTGGCTGGGAAGGGCCCCGTGGCCTGCTGCCCGCTCCGGAAGGGATCTGACCACACGAGGTTCCAGGCTGCCCTCTGCTGGGGGCCCTGGGCCGGCCCCTTCACCCTGGAGCGGCCAAGCCCGGTGCTGCAGGAAGGGGCTCTTGGCCTGCGCCCAGAGGAGCCCGGGGCAGAGGCGCCGGGAGTGGCGGGGCCTCACCGAGCCCTGGCCTCCGCGCCAACGCGTCTGACGGCAGGCGCACAGCTGGCTCACGCCTGGCTCTGCACCTGGAGAGCGGAGCCAACGTCCGGCCGGGACGCCGGACACGGCGCACACCCAGCACACACAAGCACGCACGCTGGCGGCTCTCACGCCTCCACCTCGGCCTCTTCTCGGACAGTGAGGGCCGGTGAGGTGCACGGTGTGTGAGCTGTACGCCAGTGCTCAAAACGAGAAGACGGAACTACCTCAATGAGCGAATGGGTGGCTGGGCGGCTGG